AGTCTGAAAAGCAAGAAACGCGTGCCCTACTTCTGAGTGTGGCACAAAGGGTACCCGCAGTTTGTGGGCTCCTCCTATTTTAAAATGTTCATTCTCAAAAACAAAAACCACTGCTTTCTTCCGTTGGGTCAGCGAGGCAGTGGATCACTTAGCAAAATTATTTTTCACTTTAGAAGAATCATGCTGATTTGTGTACAAAGAAAAATAGGCTTTGACAATGCAGAGTAAACTTTACTAGAGACTGTAAAAAGGTCATCCTTATATCCACGATAGCCATTAAATTACAAACTACAATTACATTTTCTTCTACTATTGTTTAGTGTTAAAAACGGATCAAGGACATAAAAATTTAAGAGTTAACTGATTCTTCCTCAAACACGAACTTAGCCTCTGTTCTGTGCCAGGCAATAGTGCTAACTATTGAGTCTGGAAAACAATACCAGAGTTTATTCTTTTGAGCAGTTCAGCCTAGTGCCTCCTCTAATGTGCTACGATAATCAATGTTTTAAGATATCAATTAAAGGTTTAATTTTGTATCATATTTACATTTTGGAAAACATACCTTACTCAGATATTGTCTTTACAAAACCTGGTTTCTATCTGCATAGCTGAAACACCCTTTTCTCCTTTTTGCCTAAAGAACAAACCACTCAAAAGTAGGTCAAATGTCTTCTCCTTCAGAAATGTGTCCCAATACCCCTCCATGCCCCCATCAACTCCACTAGGTTGGTTGGTACAGGGCCTAGGCTCTCTGGGGTATCCTTGCCATAGCCCTGAACATGCTCTGTTACCAGAGTCTCTCTTTCCTGAGAAGCCCCAGGCCCTTGAGGGTGTAGATTCCATTGTCCTCATCACTATATTCTCAGCACCAATTACAATGCCTGGACTACAAAAGGTACTTCATAAACGGTTGATGAAGGAATGAATGAGCAGTTCCGGAAACATTCTGGCTCTCCCTTTACCCGCCTGGCTCAACCTCAGTTTCCCCCTGGGATTTCTATGGCACGGCCACTGTCTTAGCTAAAATCCACTGAGCACTGCCCACAGGTAATATAGCCTACCAGCACCTATATGCAAATCTAGAACATATTGACAATCGGTAGGCCATCTTTAGGCCATATCACTCTCTAATAGATTCACATCATGATCTATAATTTGAGTAGAAACAGAACATTTGGAATTCAGTGAAAATCATTTGTTTTGGGGCAAAAAGGATAAAAATATCCAAGAGTACCCAAATCGATAATAATAGCATGCAGATGCTCTTTGTCATGAACTTTACTGTCAGCGCACTGTTAGGAATTCCCTTCCGTCCTTGAAAGAACAGACTTCGAATTCAACCTGAAACCCCAAAGTACACAAATGCAAAACCGCATACACAAATGGGTACAAAATCATCACCAAACCAAAAACAGGTAGTAGTTTACAAGATGACAGTCTGTCTCAGTCATTCTAGGCAAAGCCTCTCATGCATGGTTCTCTGAGCCTTTTGCATCTCTTCCCTTCTGTTGGTTTTTGAGCATTTTTCAACTCTCCTGATCATTTCAGTACCAGCAGGAGGGTAGGAGAGGCAAATAGAGATGATATCATAATCCTCTTTCCTTCCCCCTCATGGTATTTATGATAAAAGGCTTGAGGGAAAAGAGAGCTAAATTTAAGAGCTGCAATGAGGGCTTTGAATAACCCTAGGGTTCTGATTATTCATGGCAATGGCTCTCTCCCATTTTCACAGACATTTGATTCAAATCAACAAGTGCATCCCGAGAATCTATTCTTTCCCAAACAAAGTGCTAGGCATTTTGAGAAAGATATGAGAACCAAAGATTTCAGCTCTGCTCTCAGGAAGTTTTTCACCTCTTGAGCAGTACGAGATTTACGTATGTGAAATAACCATGAGCCATTAAGACAGTAAGGACAATCAAAGATCCAAATAAATAGAACAAATACACATATGATGGAAATTCCCAGCATCAGTTGAACTGGCTCTTCTCTCTCATCCCCAGCTATACATTGACTGATGAGAACTGGCCTAGAATCTTGTCTCCCTCTTTTATAATATATTAACACCAAGAGCAGCAACATACCAAAGTTCAAATATGGTAACAAAAATGAAGACAATGCAAGATTTTTTACTAACAAAGATACCCTGAGAACCTGGCCACCAGGTCACGCCAACAGCGAAAGGAATTATTTTTTTTGGTCTCTAGCTCTGAAGCTTTTCACTCAGGATTCCAACAAACCACTCTCCCTGGTGACCTGAAGACCCAAACAGTCACTATCTCATCCCTGCCCGCTAAAGAACGCTACACAAGAGCACTTGTTCTACAGTGGGGGTCAAAGAGTCAGTGGGAATGCTTTGTTCGAATTTGGAATCTAATTCTGTGATATTTGTAGATTATAATACATTGCAATTTTTTTCATTCTCTTTGCATGTAAATTAATCTGCTGCACTGAAACTACTACTTAAAACAAAGGGGTTTGATTTATAGTCAGTCTCTCCCTCATAAATCACACCTGCAGCATGGTGCTCAGGGCCCGCCGGGCTGTGCCAGCACTTACCTTTTATAAATGATTTGAGGTGACCTCCCATTGTGAAGAAGCCTGATACAATCCCATTCCCCCTTCCCACATTCGCTTTTCCTTGGCTGGTTATTCCCACAGGGACTTCAGACCCTGTGTTTGCAAGCATGCCAGTTGCGTTCTGTTTTGTTTTATTTTTTACATTAAAAAGTGTGAAAATCAAAATCTATGGCTTTGCCCCCCTGTATTTGGTGTCTATAGAAATACAGCTGTGCCTCTTGTCCCCTCCCTTGTAACCACCATTCCTTTCAGCGTCTCATCTGGGTCACTTTTAGAGTCAGAAGTCTGACCTTTCAAGAGCCTAGAGTGCGAGGGGGCAGCCGGCTTTCTCATTTGGCAGAGGAAGCTGGCTAATAACCACAGGAGTTCCCTATGAAGTGTTCTGTTGGGTCTTAGGGGAGAAAGGCTCAAAGTCCATCATTTCCCGTGCATCTGGCTTCCCTGCCACTTACAGAGACCTACAGGAAGCCAGGCGGAAGGCATGTCAAGGAAGCAGGGACTCAGGATAGCAGCCATGCCTGGGAGAGCTAAAATCAGCCCTCACCAGACCCTTTCCTGATGGAGTAGGCAGTGTCAGGAGAGAAAAGGGTGACAACGTGTTCTTAAAGCCCAGGGTAGTGACAGCAGGTCCCTGAGCCCAGATCTGAAAAATTATTTATCTTTTCTGAAGTCTTGAGATGTTAAAGGCTCCTAGCACGATACGCACAGCAGAGCTAGTAGCATCCCCTGTACACATTTCCCTGTTGTTAACGGCTGTTATAATGGCAATGGTATTGTTACAAGAAAAACTTTAGATACATTAACTCAACAGAGTTTGAGCAAAGAACAATTCTTGAATTGGGCAGCACTTGGAACCAGAAGAGAGGTTCAGAGAGCTGTCTGCCCTGCAAGTGCGCAGGCAGCATGTATGGACAGAAAACAGAAGTGTGGTACAGAAACCGCCTGACTGATTACAGGCAGCCTTTGCCATATTTCAACGTGGTCTGATCAGTTGGCGGGCTGGGAGTCACTGAAGCTCCGCGGCTGTGATTGGCTGAGACTCAGTTACGACACAAAAGCACACTTCAAAGGTGGGCTTTCAGTTAGTTACATACTAAGTTAGGTTGCAATTTGTTACCTAGGGACTCTAGGTATGGAGGCCTCCTCAGGCCAAATTTAGCTCAATTTAACAGTGTCATTATTAACAAAAGTGAGGGGTGGGCAGCTTCACCTTCCTGGTAAAGGGGATGGGAGCCTCTGGTTGGCCTCCACTGGATCACCTCAGGCAAGCCACATGACCTCTGCAGGCATCACTTTATTTTCTAGCGCAGTGAGGCATAGGGGCCATGTTTTATTACTTCTAGCTGTAAAGTTAAATTATTCTGAGATTTATGCAGTCAAGGAAGATTGATGTTTATCAATCTAAGTTTATCAAACTTAGGAAGTGTTTCCTAAGAAAACACTTCCCAAAAAATTCGGTGTAAGAACCAGTTAAGTGTTACCTGGTGGGAAACATTTGGGACATACTAGGTTTCCTTATGGCAGGACTTCTCAGAACCTTTTTTGATCTCCTTTTTTTATTGTTTTCTTTATATTATATGATTATTTAACTTATAAAAAAATGCATGCTCCTTATAAACAACACAGAGGTTAATTAATTAAATATTGATAACCTTCCCTTTGTTACTCCAGTAGCAGCCTCAGAGGTACACAACACTAGGGTTTGGCATGTCTGCATCTTCCCAAAATCTCAGGTCCACCAGGACTCTCTAGGAGAAGGATGGAGCAAGAAATGCTCCCCAAATTGTTTGACCATTGTACCCTTTTTCACATAGTATCTCACAGGTCTATGTCTTGTTCTGGTTTACATACTAGGGGAAATCTTGAAATAAAGCTAAGGATTGCTTCTGATGGAATAAGATTCTTTTACCAAATCTATAAGAAATCCACACAGGTAAGAGGTCAACAAAAATAACACTATTTAGACCCCAGATCACAGGATCCATTCATTCTTTTTTTTAATTTATGTATTTATTTTGAGACAGAGTATTGCTCTGTTGCCCAAGGTGGAGTGCAGTGGCACAATCTCGGTTCACTGCAACCTCCACCTCTCGGGTCCCAGCGATTCTCCTGACTCAGCCTCCCTAGTAGCTGGGATTACAGGTGTGCATCACCACACCCAGCTAAATTTTGTATATTTTGTCAAGACGTGAGTTTCGCCCTGATGGCCAGGCTGGTCTTGAACTCCTGACCTCAAGTGATCCACCTACCTCAGCCTCCCAAATTGCTGAAATCACAGGTGAGAACCATAGCACCTGACTGATCCATTCATTTTTTAATAAGATTTGGGAGCTAAATCACCGAGATGCTACAAATAGCTTCTCTGAAGGAGGCTCTCAGACCCGGTGTCAGGGTTCCTCCCAATTTGGGCTATCACTTACCCTGTGTGTCCTCAGGTTCTCCAAGCATCAGGGATGGAAGATGGTGGGACTCAAAACCACCCCTGCCACACACACAAAGGCTGGCAGAGGCTGACACTGCGATCATTAGGTTCCCAGCTCCAGCAGCCCCTGGCACATAGCAGGTCCTTGGCAAGCACTGTTGAATTTGTGGAGGAATAAATACAACATTCATTAAGAAAATGAGAAAACAGCTAACAAAAACATAAGGCCCATCACCTTGCCTGGCCACTGGTCAGAGCCTCTGTTCTCCAGCTTGTAATATTTTACTTAATCAACAACAACAAAAAAAACCTCTGAATTCAGCAGTACTATTCCTGTTTTGCTGAGGGCTCAAGTTTGCATGACTAAAAGTCCAAAATCTTGGTTCTGTAGCCTCTGATTACAAGCCAAGTGATCACACTCCACCATAGTTGCCTCTATCCTTCCTTCCTTCAAGTCCTGCAGTCTAATCCTTAGGGATTGTGGATTGGGCATGACAGAGTGCAAGACAGCTGGATGCAGGAAGCACACCTGAGGTCTGGGCAGATTGAAGGGTAACTGTGAGGTCTTTAGCCTAAGTGAGCTCTCACGGTTTTCACTCTATCAGCGCCCCCATGGCATTGTCTATTTCATCCTATCTTCTATCCAACCTTCAGTCTATTCTCAAATGAAAGTGATTCCATTATAGTGGCAACCTTGGACATTTTCCAAACATAAATAGCAACATGAACATGTCGTAACCAAAAACACAGGGAAAATATTATTACTACTGTGGGTCTTCCCAGGTCACAGACTGAACTTGATTAAGTACTGAAATACAAATTGTCCACGCTGGCCTCTAAACCATAGATCATTGAGATGCACTATCATTTATTCACTGAACATGTACTACAAGACGTACCTGTGCCCAATCCTGAGTGAGACACCAGAGATACAAAGGTGTATAGGACAGGTGCACTGTCTTCCTAGTAGTCACAGGCTGGAGAGGAGGCCAAGCCTGCATTCAAACCATCATAGCACAGTGAGTACCTAATAGTGGAGGAATTAAACCCAGGTGTAGACCAAAAAAAAATCAAACAACAACAAAACATTTGCATAAAATCCAGGAAAAAATTGAAAATATTTTTAAAGTGAACCCTAGGAACTGTATTTTAGGCCCAACTATAAAACCTGCTCTGGTTTAGTTTCTGTAGACTTACAAGTTTCCATGGTCCACACCCAAATTTGCACAGAAGAGATTCAATACCTGTGAGGTTCCAGTGGATTTCAAAATGCACTCACCTCTTGGTAGTGAAACAAAAGCTTATTCTTTTGAAGAATATCTCATGATATATATGGAGAAGATTCCAAATATCCAAGATTAGAGTGACAGATTAAATATTTGGTTTTGGAGCAGTACAAAGGGTTCTATTCCACATAGAACACAAGCTCTGCATTACAGAATATTGCGTGGTCAATGCAAACCAGGCTAATCTATACAGCAAGATCATTTAACTGAATTAAAAGCATTTTTACACTTTATAATATTATAAGGGGCAGACTCTGGGAGGGACATGCACATTTCACACTAGAAGTAGCAGCCTGCAGAAATTGCAGGCAAGCGCATGTTTTAGAAACTTCGTGTAGTAGTGACTGTTCCCCATTAACCCACGTTCACCTTTGTTTACTGTCCATTTTCATTCTTAGTTGTTTGCTTTGATTCAACCAATTTTTTATCGGTAGAAACATTTAGGCACAAAGTTCTTCTAAAGTAAAACTTTTCTACAAAATTTATAATGACTTGTATGTTTAGCTCACCTGATTTTTCTAATTATTCAAGGATTCTAAAATTCATGTGTATCACGAGAAAATTTTTTATCTTCCCTGGGGGATAAAAAAATTATGTAAAAGAAAGTCTTTCAGTGCAATGATGAGTAAAGGAAAATAAACCAAATCCAAGAACCTATGAATATAAGCCGAAGCCTGTTTTCATAGAACACTTTTCGTTCCATTTTTCCACTAATAATGGAAATGTACCATTCTAGAATTTCTTACTTTAGGGATAAGAACTAACACCTGTGTCTAAAACACCAATGAAGAGCCTTAAGGTGGTGGTGGTGGTTTTCCATTAAGAGCCATAGACTTACAGAAACATGCAGTGAGAGTTGTAAATGTGTTCAAATCAATTTGCGTTGGGTGGGCCTCACTTTTTAGAGGCAAATAAATATAAATAATTTTATTCATTGCCTTTAAAGGTAGGAATGGACAAACAAAATTATTTCAGTAAAAACCACAAGCAATATGCAAGCGTGATGGTGTGCTTTGCAAGGTCTGTTGAGTAAGAGAAGAGGTGGGAAAACAGATGAAAACCCAATGGGAGAAGGGGAAGGGTTCAGATATGCAGAATGGACTGAGAGGATAAAGAAAAAGATGCATCTAAAGACAGAGAGCTAGACGAAACTAATAGAAAATTCTACCATAATGGCCAAGGAAGGCCTCTTTAAAAGGTGAAACTTGATCTGAGTTCTGAATCTTCGGAGGAAATGTTCTCAGCAGAGGACACAGCAAATTCAACAACCCTGCGGCAGGAAGGAGCATGGCCCAGTACAGAACATTAAGGCCAGTGTGACTGGAGCCAGGCAGCCAAAGGGAAACAAAGACACCAGGGCAGAGAGTTGGACGGCACAGTAGGTAGTTGTTTTAGGACATGAGGACACGTCGTTCTTTTAGGACATGAGGTAGTCCGTTTAAGATTTGAGGCGTGGGGGAATTTCACCTTTTTTATTTTTATTTTTTTTTGAGACAGACTCTCGCTCTATAACCCAGGCTGGAGTGCAGTGGTGTGATCTCAGCTCACTGCAACCTCTGCCTCCTGGGTTCAAGTGATTCTCCTGCCTCAGCCTCCCGAGTAGCTGGGATTATAGGCGTGCACCACCATGCCTGGCTAACTTTTTGTATTTTTAGTAGAAATGAGGTTTCACCATGCTGGCCAGGCTGGTCTTGAACTCCTGACCTCATGATCCGCCCACCTCAGCCTCCAAAGTGCTGGGATAACAGGCGTGAACCACCACGCTCGCTTCCTCTTCATTATGAATGCAATATAAATCCATTGGGAGATTTTTAATAGAGGGGTGATATGCTGTGATATACATGTGTTAGAAGGTCATTCTGGCTGCTTTGGGGGAAAGGAATTTAGGTGGGAAAGACTGGTTGTAGAAAGACCAACTCAAGATTAAGAGACAATAATGGAAAAGTCCAGGGAATAGCTGGCATTGGCTTGGTCTCGGGTGGTAACATTGGAAATTGTGAGAATGATGAGACTTGAAAGATACTTTGAAAGTAAAGCCAATAAGGTGTGGTGTTAGATTAGATGTGAGGGGTAAAGGAAATGGTTAATCCTCAATGAACCCTGGGTTTTTGGACTAAGAAACTGAGTGGATGGTGATGCCATGAAACAAAATAAGTTTTGAGGGATGAAAGTGGGAATCAACAGAAGAGCTTTGGCCTGGTTAGTTTTGAGATGACTCTAGGACGTCAAAGTGGAGCTGCAGAACAGATAGTGATGTGTGAATGTGACCTCCTTGGCAGGGTCTGGAGGAGGGATACCTTTGTGGCTCATCACCATGCATCCTCTCACTGAATCTGCTAAGCAGTGATATGGTGAGTTTTGTAGAGTAAATAAGTATCCCCATTTTCCAGGGAGAGCACTGAGGCTCAGAGAGATTGAGTTAACTTGACAAAAGCCACGTCAACAGGTAAATCATACCTCTGAGAATACAACCTCCATCTCCAAGTCTAGTGCACTTTCTAGTACACCGCAAAGAAAACCACAAAGAATGTAGCAAGAGAGTGGCTAAGAATAATCTGAAATTAGCATATCAGAAATTTCTGTTTTGATTACTTATCCATTAATTTAAAGTTTGGGCACTAAAATCAATTATGATCATTCTTTTTTCATATTATTTTTATACTTTAAGTTCTGGAGTACATGTGCAGAATGTGCAGGCTTGTTACATAGGTATACATGTGCCATGGTGGTTTGCTGCACCCATCAACCCGTCATTTACATTAGGTGTTTCTCCTAATGCTATCCTCCCATAGCCCCCTACTCCCGGAAAGGCCCTGGTGTGTGACGTTCCCCTCCCTGTGTCCATGTGTTCTCATTGTTCAACTCCCACTTATGAGTGAGAACATGCGGTGTTTGGTTTTCTGTTACTATGTTGGTTTCCTGAAAATTATGGTTTTCAGCTCCATCCATGTCCCTGCAAAGGACATGAACTCATCCTTTTTTATGGCTGCATAGTATTCCATGGTGTATATGTGCCACATTTTCTTTATACAGTTTATCATTGAGGGGCATTTGGGTTGCTTCCAAGTCTTTGCTATTGTGAACAGTGCCACAATAAACATACGTGTGCCTGTGTTTTTATACTAGAATGATTTATAATCCTTTGGGTATATACCCAGTAATGCGATTGCTGGGTCAAATGGTATTTCTGGTTCCAGATGCTTGAGGAATCACCACACTGACGCCCACAATGATTGAACTAATTTACACTCTCATCAACAGTGTAAAAGCATTCCTATTTCTCCACGTCCTCTCCAGCATCTGTTGTTTCCTGACTTTTTAATAATTGCCTTTCTAACTGGCATGAGATGGTATCTCATTGTGGTTTTGATTTGCATTTCTCTAATGACCAGTGATGATGAGCTTTTTTTCATGTTTGTTGGCTGCATAAATGTCTTCTTTAGAGAAGTGTCTATTCATATCCTTTGCCCACTTTTTGATGGGGTTTTTTTTTCTTGTAAATTCATTTAAGTTCTTGCAGATTCTGGATATTAGCCCTTTGTCAGATGGATAGATTGCAAAAATTTTCTCCCCTTCTGTAGGTTGCCTGTTCACTCTGATGATAGTTTCTTTTGCTGTGCAGAAGCTCTTTAGTTTAATTAGATCCCATTTGTCTATTTTGACTTTTGTTGGCATTGCTTTTGGTGTTTTAGTCATGAAGTCCTTGCCCATGCCTATGTCCTGAATGGTATTGCCTAGGTTTTCTTCTATGGCTTTTATGGTTTTTAGGTCTTACATTTAAGTCTTTAATCCATCTTGAGTTAATTTTTGCATAAGGTGAAAGGAAGAGATCATTTTTAAGATGTTCTACTAGCTATCCATTATGCCTTCTTTGAACTTAGAATCTAACAAGTGTCTATAAAAATTGTGTAAGACTTTGAAATGGACCAGAAAAAAAAGACTGTAGTCTGTCTTGCCTAGTTCACCCTTCCAAGTTTTCACTAACTTTCCTTGTCTTTGAGCTATTTTACAACTGTAAACTGTAGAAAACTGATAGTAATGCAGGTGATTTGTGTCCACAGAAATGCAAATTTTGTTTGGTGGTGATGCACTTGATTATTTCTCTGGGGTTATTGACCAGTTTTGCATCTATTTGTAAATTCACTAAAGTGTCTCTGATTTCCTATGTATGTATATTTTAAATTCGCTTTTGAACTGGTAGTAATATCTTATTGGTTCTTTTATTAATAAATGAGTTAAAGTAAAGCTTTGCTAGTCATTCATTCGTGTTTGTATAAGTCATGATTTTAACCCTTTTTAAAAATTATTTTTAACATAGATTACTTTTTAATAATAGAAATTTTAAAATCATTTAAAATATATTCCCCCAAATTTCGAAGAACTTATTTTTCTGAAAGAAATTGCTTAAATTTTAGAAACCACTTTTCGAATTTTAGAAATATAGGTCAATTTACCAGTAAATGACCTGTGAGACTTTTTTGTTGTTTTTTGTTGTTGTTGTTGTTGTTGTTTTTGAGACGAAGTTTCACTCTTGTTGCCCAAGCTGGAGTGCAATGATGCAATCTCACCTCTGCCTCCCAGGTTCAAGTGATTCTCCTGCCTCAGCCTCCCAAGTAGCTGGGACTGCAGGCACACACCACCATGCCTGGCTAATTTTTTGTATTTTTAGTAGAAACGGGGGTTTCACCATGTTAGCCAGGCTGGTCTTGAACTTCTGACCTCAGATGATCTGCCCACCTTGGCCTCCCAAAGTGCTGGGATTACAGGCGTGAGCCACTGTGCCCAGACAACTAGTGAGACTTTCTTATATTGAATAGTTTGTAGTGAAATTAAAGCTTCCATAGCTCACAGATCATGAATGCTACATTCAAACAATTTTCTAAATGGTTCTGGCCAGGTGCAGTGGCTCACACCTGTAATCCTAGCACTTTGGGAGGCCAAGGTGGGTGGATCACTGGAGGTCAGGAGTTCGAGACCAGCCTGGCCAAAATGGTGAAACCTGTCTCTACTAAAAATATAACAAATTAGCCAGGCATGGTGGCACACACCTGTAATCCCAACTACTCAGGGAGGCTGAGGCAGGAGAATCACTTGAACCTGGGAGGTGGAGATTGCAGTGAGCAGAGATTGCACCACTATACTGCAGCCTTGGCAACAAAGTGAGACTTCGTCTCAAAAAAAATTAAAAATAAAAATTTTTTAAAGTAGTTGTGAGTCTTTCGTAGCTGAATGCCAAAAACTATTTGCCCCTCACCAACCACTTGACTCTTCATTGAACAAAGAAGATGAGTTTTGAAGCAACTTGATACATCCATTCTGACAAAGAAGTGTTGTGTAAGTGTGGCTGCAGTGATGGATAGGAGTTGGTGATCTAATGAACATTTCGTATTAGAACAAAAGCAAATATCTCCTCCCCTGGGTATGAAGAACTGGTCACAGAAGATGGGAGGTGAAAAATTTGTAGAAGAAGCCAAAAGCCTATTAGGAAAAAAAAGACAGACCCAGACACTCAAAATTGAGAATCTGTCAAGACTAATAGTGTCCCTATCCCAAGATTCCCAAGAGGAATTCACCAGGAAGTCACTGAGAGTCTATTTGCTGGCTTGGACTCAATATAAGGCCTGAAGTCTTGTTGAGAAGGGCTGCTCCTGGCATAGCCTGTGCTGGTAACTCCTAAACATAGCCAACCAAGCGCTGTGTCCTGTGGCAGGGAAAGCTTGGCTAAGCCTATCTGTATGAACTGTGGAACTGCAGCCTGGGAGGCCACCCATAGACCACAATCTCAGCTTATGCAGAAATGGAGAAAACAAAGGCATCAATACAATGGATGTGTGTTCACCAGGCTGTGCAGGACAGGTCTTCAACTGTGCCACCATGTGGTTGTAAGGAACAATTGTTAATAGTGGCTACTGAGCACCTTCCCGGTTCCTTCACGGCTGAGATTTAGAAGCAGAATTGACCGAACCTGCATTATGTTTTAACTGGACCTCAGAAGAGATAATCAGAAAAACAGAATTGGGAAAAACAGCAGTTGACTACTCTTTGTAGCTTTTCAGCTGTTTCAACTTCAGCTCCTGCCCTTGCTGAAGGACAGAGAAAGGGGGCAGGAATTGTTATCTATTGCTGGTAAAGCAGGCAAGATTTGAGCCAGGGGCCCAAGTCTACCTGATCAGAAGCCCCTGGTCTCAGATTTTAAGACTCTGGTATTCTGGCCGTAAGAGTAGGACTCAGCGATGTTCTGCTAAGGGCCATAAAACCTGGGACAAAAATGCAAGTTATGGAAAACTTTAGTTGCAGATATCTTTGCTTCTAATGCCAATAGAGCTTCTTGGGACAACTGAAAGACAAGGCTACATATAAAGGCTTTTTGACTTCCATAAAGAAAGACACTAAATAAGTCCATGCCAAGCCAGCCCTTCTGATAGGTGAGCGGAGAACCAAGTCAGAGCCCCCAGAATAGACACTGGATGTCTACCACTGCAGTTTTCACTTCCACATGACCCAGAGTTGCACTTCCAGGTAGGCCTGGTGGTTACTGAAAGTGACCCAAGGTGGTGAGGCTGTTAGTCCAGGTTCTCCATTAACTTTGGCCCCACCTGTAACCATCGCTAGGTTAGGAGAGGAACTTCAAGTACAGACTTCACCCAGAATGAAACTAGCTCAAAGCAAGAAATTCTTAGTAACACTATCACCTCCTCTTTCATACAGACTCAGGGTCCAGTCTCTGGGTCAAAGTCCCTTTTGTTTCCTTATGTGCCTTCCCAGTGGTCCTCTGTCCTTAGTCTCTGGAAAACGGAAACAATTAGATGGAACTCGGTAACTCACTCAAAATTTGCATGTTTTCTTTAATATCAAAAAGATCTAGACTTCTGGAGGCTTATAGAACTAAAAGCCAGAGAATCTTACAGTGGTCGAAACTGATCAAATGCCATAAGCTAAAAATCTTTCAGGGTTTTCCCTCTAGAGAAAACAGAAACCAGGCAATTTTCAGCTTTTTTATCTGTCCTAAATCTACACAAACAAATATGCTGGAGAGAAGAAGATATAAGCACTTAATCATGAGAAACATCTTTGACAAAGAAAGATCATAATAGGAACTGAGCAGGAAAAGAGAGCATGAGGAAGGGGGGCAGGGGAATAAAATAGGATGACAGAAAGAATGAATTACTTCCCTCTTGGTCAGTCATTAAATTCCACCCAGGCTGGTGGTGAAGGAAAGTCATTCCCACATCATAAATAGGAACAGAGCAGTCCTTTCGCACCTTCAAATTTTAGCCAAGCATCCATATCACGAACCTTCCTTCAATGTTTACAGGAAGAAGGGAGTGTTATAAAATATATTCTCCTGAATAAATCTTAGATAGCTTCAGCTGTAAGATTGTTAAAATTAAAAGAAACAAGTGGTTGAGCAATTGAAGATTATCAATGCTAACTGGCAAAGGAGAGGATGGCTGGGTATGAGTCACTTTGAAAATACTGAGTCTAGTTTCCTGAATGCAGTATTGTTCATTAATTATTCCTTCCTGCCTTCCTTCTTGCCTGCCTTCCTTCCTTCCTTCCTTCCTTCCTTCCTTCCTTCCTTCCTTCCTTCCTTCCTTCCTTTCCTCACTGTGCTTTAAGTAGTTCACAGCTTCATGGGAGAGAGGTACCTAGTACACAAATAGCTGCATTAAAATGGGAACAGTGGTAACAGTCACAGAGTGGGCCTGTTAAGACACCCCCACCCCTTGGCAAGTTCAAAAAGGGCAGAAACTGAGGTTGAAGCAGCTGAGAAGTTATCATTATCATTCAACTCCAATTTTACCTAATCTGATTTTTTAAATTATCTCCCTTGAAGCCCAGGTAGGATATAAAACCAAATCCGGTGGCAAGTATGAGAAGGAGCTCAGGACATGAGCAGGACCTGGGTAGCAGGGTTGGATTGTCCTTGGTGGGGAGAACAGGTACTGCCTTGCTCAGGGGCATGACAACCAGCAAAAGAGCAGTCGCTGTCATTTATTTAACGTGGACTATGTCCTCTGCATTTACTTACCTGCAAAAGGGGATGACCTTGCCAATTTGCCTTTTATAAGTGAGAAGACAGAATCTGAGAAGTTCAGTAGCAGCCCAAGAACACCTACCTTGGGGTGGGGTGGGATGGGGTGAGATGGGGTGGGATGGGATGGGATGGGACGGGGTGGGAAGGGCTGGTTGGGGCAGGATGGGATGGGATGGGGTGGGATGGGAAAGGCTGGGATAGGGTAGGATGGGGTGATGGGATGGGGTGGGGTGGGATGGGGTGATGGGATAGGATGGGGTGAGGTGAGATGGGATGGGATGGGGTGGGATGGGGTGATGGGATGGGGTGAGGTGGGATGGGCCAGGGTGGTGTGGGCTGGGATGGAATGGGATGGGGTGGGATGCAGTAGGATGGGGTAGGATGGAGTGAGGTGGGATGGGATGGCATGGGATGGGATGGGATGAGGTGGGGCAGACTGTACTGGAGGGAGTTCTAGGGGACGGGGATGGGCAGTGCAAAAGCACAAGGGTAAGGAACGCATGAGCTGGCTCAGGTTGCCCGGATTTCAGAGCCACGAACAGAGCAACAGATGACAACGAGGTCAGGGGTCAGCTGGCGCTCATGCTGTGGGAGCCTTGATGCTCCCTAGCTTGCATGCACCCATCAGGACTTCTTCATACAGATATCTAAGAGTAAGAGTAAGGTACAGGAACGGTTGTCTCGTCTTTCTTGAGAATGCAGCACAAGTTCTGGTTTTTGTCTTCAAATATTGCAAACAGCAAGACAAGATCACCAGTTGCCTTAGTTAGAGCCAGCGTGGAGGTGGCTCAGAGATCATTTGATGCCACCATCAGCAAACCTGAACAGGGTCCCTGAGGCCCAGGGACTCAATGGAGCCTCAGAGCGGAGAGTCAGATCAGAGCTGGGATTGGGGCAGCCTGGGTCTAAACGGAGCACCTGCTGCTCAGGGCAGCCTGTCAAACGGGGAGCCACTGGCCCTTCCAAAGGGCTACGAAATGGGAAACCCAATCTAGGCCTTCAAAGGTAGGGAAAAAACTCACAGCAGGGCAAACCAATCACAAAAGCCCTTCTGTGCAATGGACTCAGGAAGCCGTCCTCCTGGGTCACCGACAGGACATCCTCTGCTGCCTTCAGGGGTGACAGGAGCTCAGGTCAAACACAACTTAGGATCACACCTTCTTCAAAGTCAACCCCATGCCCTGCAGACGTCATTCACAACACAGGCCTACGGCCCCTCTCCACAGGCAGCCCACATGCCGGCAGGCCGGCAACTGGGAGGAGACACAAGCCTTGTGGACACTGCGGGAAGGAAGGTGTTGAGGAAGTTTAAGAACTGGCCTCCCTCCCAAAAAGAGCTAATGTGTGGGGTCCCAGCGGGGGCCCGGCCTGCCCAGGAAACCACCTAGTGACTGTAATATCCTGGGCAGTCAGGATTCTCTTACCTTAGGCAAACTCCTTGTCAGAAAATCTCTTCTTAGAATCAAAGAATCACAGGATTTTTGAGCTTGAAAAAGTCTTTCGTCTTTGTCTTGTGTAGTTGTAGTTGCTCACCTCAAACAGTGCTGAGGGGAATTAAGGACTCCTGAAACAAAAAAAAAAGAAAAATATGACCCAACAGGGGGCCCAGGCAAATTTGCTTAACTAAAGGATCCCTGTGAATAACACCTAGTAGGCAAAGAAAGGCATGTTCCATCGGAAGACATCGACAGCGACAGCGTCTTTGGTTAGGAATCAGTCAGCCTCCACCAGCCTCCGAATGCTAGCCACGCAGCCTGCCTCGGGAATGCAGGAGGTCCACAGGCCATGCCTTCTCCAGCAAAGCCAGGAGATCAGAAGCCCCTCAAGGGGGTGTTGAGCCAGAGGCCCGAGGCCTTGCAGATCTGACGCTCCAGAACAGGGGGTCTCCTCCCTGCCCCCCACTACAGGGAATGGAAATGTAAGGTCCTGGAACCCAGTTCGATCCAACCTAATTCCTTCAGGCCCAACCAGGGTCCAAGCTCCAAGGCTAGGCCTGCAGGGTCAAACACAGACATTTCCTGCCCAGGAGGTTCCTGTGAGCCAGTGGGACACCTCAAGACAGCGTGGGGAGGGGCTCTGACCGGAGTCCTCCTGGCCCTGCTCTCCTCAAGGGACTTGGTCCAGCACCTCACACTTGGCCACTGCTGTTTTCCAGGCCTTGCACACACCTTGTCCACATGATCAGTGCTTGGAACAGAACCAGGTCTGGGCAGGTCACACCGAGGGCTGATCAATAGGCTGCCCAAGCACGTCTGTCCATCTGCTCTGCTTTGCAAGCCACTAACAGGACGTGAATGCTGACTCAGTGCCCTGGCTCAGGGAGGCGAGCAGGCAGAAGAATGGAGGGGTCAGGATTCCCAGCTGCTCAGAGGCAGAGTGTGAGAAGGAGACGCCAAGAAGCTCCCAGGTTCCAAATTCCTGTCACTGTCACTGGAAAGATAACGATGTCATTGAGAAAGATGTGTGGAGGGCAACTTGAGGAGCTGTTTATTGAAGAACTGGTGTGATGGCCGCATAGCACCAGCAGCAGGTATGAGCTGAAGGGCCTGCCACCCTCCCCAGGACCACCTGTCCTGCTACCTAAGCTTGAGTGGCCCGGGGCATTGTTCTGGAATGATTCTGGAGCACAGACATCAACACGTTCATGTAAGTTCTATCACAGACTCCACGTAACAAATCTCCCGTCCCAGTTACCAACTGAGGAGGAGAATCAGGCTTCTGGGAAGCTCCAGGGACTTCAAGGAGTACAAGACTATTCTGAGGCTAAAACAATTGCAGATTCTAAGATGGAAACCGATACTGTGCAAATTAAAAAATATATATATATGGAGGGAAAAGAAAGTTTCCTTTCTTTGCAGGCAAAACAGGAAGCTGTGCACGTTAGTTCTGAAGTGCACCTGTTTCTGTGCACAGTCTTGCCTTCATGGGATTTCTAATCCAAAGGAAAGCTACACTGAAGCCTAGCATAAGCAACTCACAATGAGGTAGCCGTGGTTTAAATGCCAGTGGTGTCCCCAGGCAGCTCAGTGAGTGAGTGAGCCGTGTCTGTCTGGGATTCCAGGTCTTTGAGTTGACTGGACCCCGCAGGCCTAGCCCTGGAGCTTGGACCCTGGCTAGGCCTGAAGAAATTGGGTTGGATGCAACTGAGTTCCAGGACCTCACATCTCCATTCCCCATAGTGGAGGCAGCGGGGAGACACCTGGCTCTGGAGCTTCAGAGCTGCAAGGCTTCAGGCCTGCAGCTTAGCACCCCCTCCAGGGGCTTCTGGCCTCCCGGCTCCGCTGGAGAAGGCACTGCCTGTGGACCTCCTTTGTCTCACCCTCCTTTGGGTTCCCGTGATAGGTAGCCTGTATTAGATGCTCAATAAATATTTGCCAATTTTTCAAAATTCCTTGAAAATACTGAAGACACCCGGAATGAAGGGACCTGACAAATTGGAAGTTTCTCTACAAGAAATTCACATTTGCAAAGCGAAGAGGCTCTCCCTTGAAACAGGCTCACTGTTGTGAACGTGGAAATGCGAAGTGAAGGCTTTCTTTGGAAATCACTTTGTACGCCGCCAACACCTTCCAGCGCTTTTGCTCCAACAGCTGATCCACAGAAAAAGCAGGGTGACAACTTCATTGTTCCTGGGTGACCAGCCTGCCTGTGGGGCGGCCTTTCTTTGAGAAGCCATGGAATACAATGCATCGTCCTTTGTCAGAAGCTCCCAACCGAACCAACCTTCCAGAAACAGAAACACTCCCACAGCTCCCTTCCCCCTCTGCCGGCTCCCTTCCCCCTCTGCAGGCTCCCTTCCCCCTCTGCAGGCTCCCTTCCCCCTCTGCAGGCTAAGAGCTCAGACCCAGCCTTCTGAGGGTCTCCAGCTGCCAGGTCTGCTTGAGGGGAAGTTGAGGAGGTCAGGCAGGAGAGAGGGAAGAAGGGGGAGCCACAGGGAAGCCGGGCTTGGGAGCTTCAGGGCCTCTTGCTGCTTCTCAGAGATCACCTGCCCTTCACCTTCCTCCTGCCCAGCACCTTACACAGAAGACCTCCCTAAGGCTGCTCTCCCAGGCTCACAACAATGGCAGGAATGAAATGCAGAGGAAGGCTTCCTGTGCAAATGCCTCCCAGAGGAGTAACTGGCCTAAACTCTCCCAAAGGCGCGAATAACTGATATCTCTAAGGCAAAGATTGATGGGAGAATAGGGAACAGGCGGATGTGGGTAGCTCACTGGGGGTACAGAAGAGGCAGCATTGCCACCTCATAATTCTGTCTCAGGCCAGTCCCAGGGAACCCACGGGGAAGGCCAGCTGCACAGCCGCAACACCAGTGGGCGGGCTGAGCTCCCAGGTCTGGCTGTCTCAGCATGGCCAGCCGGCCCCAGAGTTCCCTTGTCATGTTGTCTTTTAGGGAGGCCACACCGAATCACCAACCCAAGGTGTTATTGTGATGAGTCTATAGCGCGGGTCCTCATTCCTCCTGCCTGCTTCTACGTAGCGTGTGGCTTTGGGCAAGTCACACCATCTCCGTGGGCCTCAGGTTTGTGAGGCTGTCTAAGGCTTCACTGTTGAAAGGAGCCCTTCCTTCCAGGGAGAAATCCTGGTATTCCCAGAATCACAACAGCTTTCCCAAAAGACCATTAATGCATGTCCCACCCGGTCCCGACAACCCCATGAGGGGGTTACTGCTGTCCTCGTGAGAATGAGGACAATTTCTGGAATGCCGGTCTAGAGACATGTGAAGAAGTCCGCCTAGGCTGGGCAGCAGCTGCAAAGTAGAGGTTTGTAAAACACGAATCCTTTCTACTGCTTCCCCTCCTCTATCCTACTCCCCTTTCCCTTCTGTTCCTTTCCCTTCTCTCCCCTTCTTTTTCCTTCCGTTCCTCCTTTCCTTCCACCTCTCTTTCGCTATTCTGCCTTTAATCCTACAGCAGATTCCCCATGATTTCCATACAGAATGTTCTGTGTTTCTAACATGCTGAGGCTGAAGCCACACAGAAATTGAGCTATGAGGCTGGACACAGTGGCTCACACCTGTAATCCCAGCACTTTGAGAGGCTGAGACAGGCAGATCACCTGAGGTTAGGAGTTCGAGACCAGCCTGGTCGACATGGTGAAACCCCATCTCTACTAAAACTACAAAAAGTAGCCAGGCATGGTGGCACACATCTGTAATCCCAGCTACTCAGGAGGCAGAGGCAGGAGAATCGCTTGAGCCCAGGAGGCAGAGGTTGCAGTGAGCCAAGTGCCAGTGTACTCCAGCCTGGGCAACAGAGCAAGACTCTGTCACCAAAAGAAAAAGAAAGAAATTGAACTCTAAGCTACTAGCTCAAGTGTACACCTTGTACTATGAAAGAGAAAGCCTTCTTTAAACTAACAACAAGAAAGATAAGGCAATGCCATTGCTCATTGAAGGGTGCAAGAGCTTCACTGTGTAAGCTGTCCACCTGAAGGGTCTGCAGCTCCCATTCCGGGAGAAACACCCATCCAGGCCATCCCTTCCTCAGAGCATCCCATCAGAGCCTAGTAGGGAAATTCTCGTTATAGTTTATTTAGGAAAAAAATCATAATTCAACGCATGTCCCTGCAAAACTGTACAGTATAACAGGACACTAAAGTGACTTTTGCTCTGGCACAGAGGAGAGCTGAGTGAAAAGATCTCTGGATTCTGAAAGCCCAGTTGTCCCAGGCTGCCACTTAGGTTGGCGTGCTCGCATTCATGTTCCACAGCAGTGTATAGTCCATGAGCAACCACAGGACTTTTATTGTCTGCCTTCCTAAATCTGTCCTGCTGTAACTTAAAAAAGAAGTTACAGCATCTCTGTAACACTATTTGGTTTTAACTAGGTTGCTAAATGTGTTTGCTGAAGTCAGCTATAAGGCGTTAAGCATTTCAGTGGTACAGGGTGTCAGAGATAAATTCTGCAGTCAGTGTGTGGCACTGGATGAGATTTATTTTGCAAACTTTGCCAACCCCAAAAAGGAGATTATACGTTTTGGGAGATAGGGCACTATCCTGTTAGTGAAGTTCATTTAGATGTATTTCCTATACCAAAGGGCATTAAGTCTCTCTATAAATATTAGCAGAATTGCATTGCAAAGTGTAAGTCCCAAATGGGGGTGTCATTTGGCAGACCATGCCCCCCAGGTATGGATTGTGCCATCCCTGGGGAGAACTGGCTTCTCTCTCCTGCATGGCATCAATTATAAGCTTTCATTCTTCTGAGAGAATTAGGAAACATCTGGAGTCAGCACTTCCACAATCTTGGTTTTGTTTCTAAGAGTAGCTGCATTATTTGCTGGCAATTAGGATGTTCAGATACTAAATCAATGATTTTCTCCACGGCCCATGACTTATGTTTGTAATATAACAGACATACCAAGGGTGCCATGCCCTTACAGCTCTTTAAAAAATAACCAAAAAATGAATCTATTGATTTTATTTCTAAAAATTATTTTATTTAAACCAGTTGTTTAAATAAACTGGGGGCAATTTTGCACCTCCTTCCCAGAGACATTTGTCAATGTTGCTTTTTGTGTCACATCTTGGGGGCATGTATTGGCGTGGATACAAGCCACTGGATA